TTATTCATTATGCTAGAAAAATCTATCATTTAATCAGATGTTCATTCGGATTGGTCACTTTTGTAACCTTGTCGCCAACAGTCTATTCGTTCTTGATGCCCCTTGAAAGCTGAATTCCAAATTCTTCCACCTAAGAAGTTGCACATTTGGTAATCAAAACCTCTGCTCATAAAAACAGCACAACGTGGGCTTCAGCTTGTAGCTTTTTCTATTTGCATGCTATTTCCAAATTTTTGATCCGGAGTGGTTGTGTGGAGCGCAGAACACCACTGCCCCTTCTGGTTGCTCTTCCAACCCACACACACGTACGTGCATGTGTGTGCATGCGTTCAGCTCTGAAAACCGTGCCGTTCGTACCGTTCACGTCCGTCCAATACGGCTGTGACGGTATCAGTGCGCTGTTGATTTTTGGCATTGGCCTTGAGGTTGTCTCCACTGTGATCTCCATGTTGTCCTCTATATTAGCAATATCGACACACGAACCACAATGTCTTGTGTGTGGTCAACCTTTGCAAGAGCTTGTAAAAAAAACACCGTCTCTGTGGGTTGGTGTGCTCCTGGTCGAATAAATGTATATGACAGCGAATTTCGCGGTTAGGTTATGGAACACGAGGTGTGTGTATGTGGGGGGGGGGCATGGAAGTAACGGTGATTGGCACATGCATATGTGCTTGATTTGAAGCGTCTACTCATCATTTACATATGTAAGCTCCACGCAATCACGTGTTGTATTTTACATGAATCGCGAAGGTGTGAACAATTGTAGACGGCGGGGAGAGGGGCTCTTTAAGTGCAATTGGGTTGTCTATGGATCTGGCTCAACAAAGGCTGGTTGCCAACCTATTTATTTACCATCCAATGAATATTTTAGTAAAGGATAGTTCCACTTGTTTGAGAATATTTAATTCAATATTTAGTTTACATTGTCGCAAGTGATCAACTGTGCCACTCTGGTCGTTCCCATGTCAGGCAAAATCGTGTTAAACTATCCTCTCTCATTCACTCACATATTTCATCCTAGTCCGTTTTATCCAGCTCTCTGATTCTGAGCGTGCCATGCACCGGGATGATTCATATCTATTCCTGAAGAAGATCACTTTACCTATTGTCAAAGTCTGTTTTTCAGGAAATTTTCTCGGTATTTTTTTAATGTGCCTCGGACACAAATCACATTTGAACGAGAATCACAGGCGTTTTAATATAAGCTTGAGCCAATCAAATGTTTTGGTTTCTAAAACCAAAGTCTTGTACGGACCAATCGTAAAAGCACAATTGATGTAGTAAAACAAACGATCAATTCAATCAGCACTTTACAACACATCCTTTGTCTTTTGAAAGCTTTTCATTATGATCCTGATTAGTATATCCGTCTGCCGCGTGTTCCGGATGGGGATTACGTGGCTATGCCCGTCGTTAGTATTTTTCGCTGCGATCCTTGTACACTGATTTCAAAATCCTCCTGCGCAGTATTTAGATCTTCTCTATCTTTGTTTTTGTCACCATTCTCTTCTGCATTTTTTCAATGCCAGTTTTGGAATATTTAGGAGGCGCTTCACCAAAGCGACAATTCGGTCGCTTATTGGACTTTTTTCTAGACAGGCACAAAAATTGCACGAACGAGTCAGTGACTTGGGGGATAAGACGATAGCATTGAGGGACTAAAAATGCTGCTTCTTTGAA